TTTATTTATTTATTTGACAGAGATGGAAAGAGAGAGATAGCGAGAAAGAGAACACAAGCAAGGGGGAGCGGCAGGCCGAGGGAGAAGCAGGCTTCCCGCGGAGCAGGGAGCCCAACGCGGGGCTCCATCCCAGGACCCTGGCATCACGACCTAAGCTGAAGGCAGATGCTCAACTGACTGAGCCACTCAGGCGCCCCTTACCACAATTTTTTACAAGTCAGTGTCTTGAAAGACCAAAACCAAAGAAAAGAAAAAAGCTGCAAAACTCTTCCAGGCTAAAGGAGACTTGATCACTAAAGATCACTAAATGCATGATCCTTGATGGGATCCTGGATCAGAAAAAAAGAAAAAAAAACACGTTATAGGGATGCCTGGGTGACTCAGCAGGGAGCCAGCTTATTCCTGTGCCTGTGGCAACCCCTGCCTGTGCTCCCTCCCTCTCTCGATCCCCCTCTCTGATAAATAAATACATTTTTTTAAAAATCTTAAAAAAACAGTTACAAAAGACACTCTTGGGAGAATTGGGGAAAAGTAAATATGGACTGTAAATTAGATAGCAGTGATAGCATATTAAAGTTTAAGAAAAGAATTCAGTATGTCAAAATTGTGTAGGTTATACTAACAGAGCATTGTGGCTTCCTGGTGCTCTGACACCTGAACTGTTTTAAGATCCATTGCCCTACACTTTGGTGTAAGGACAGCCCTCCCCCACCCCCGATTAAAGTTTGTGAAATTGCATGCAAGTGAATCCCCAGTTTAGGAAAATCTGATATTAAAAACTGTGGATTTACTAACCAACTAACACCTAACAAATTGGGAATGGCTGCTTTTAAATAGATTTCATTTTTTAGAACAGTTTTAGTTTTACAGAAAGATTGAGAAGATAGTACAGAGAATCCCCATATACCCCACATCCAGTTTCTCTCAACATCTGACATGAGTATGATACATTCGTGACCTGAGTATACATTCGTGACAATTAATGTTATCATTATCACTGAGGTCCGTACTTTATTCAGATCTCCTCAGTTTTCACGTTAACACCCTTTCTGTGTTCCAGGATGCCATCCAGGATACCAAATCTCATTTAGTTGTCCTGTCTCCTTAGGTTTTTGTTGGCTGTGACAGAATTAGAATTTCCTCGATTTTGGGGGCATCCGGGTGGCTCAGTAGGTTAAGCGTCCGACTCTTGATTTGGGAGATTTGTCTTTCCTCCCTCGTTTATTTATTTAAGTCCTCTTTAAAAAAAAATTTAAGTCCTTTTTATCCATATGGACTCATGGATATTTATTTTATGTTTGGGGTAATAATTTCATACTTCCTTATTTTGATGTCACTTTGGCATACCCACAGCAGTGGGGGTGTGTGTGTTTGTTTTTGAGCATTTCCTTACTTTCTGGCACCACAAGATACCCCAGGCTTATCTTGTATATCTCCTGCTCCAGTCGTAGATTGAACCATTTTCCCAAGGAGCCCAGGGGATGGCTATTTTCATTATAAGGTGACTACTCACCTTCTATAAGGATAAAGGTATTGGTGCATGCAAGTTATTTTATATAATTTGATTGACAACTCTTCAGGAACATGCCTTTTGCTAGACTCAGCTATTTTAAAAACTGTGTCTAGCTTTTAAAAATTTCCAGTGAGGCTTCATTCTCGCCAGAATATGAAAAGCCATTCTAAGAAGTGTCTTTATCTCCATCCTCATCATGAAAGGAGGTCATTGGCGATATTGCGGGGTGTTATAAGGATTTTGTGGCAAAGCCTGATATGGTGGAAAGAGTTCCAGACTGAGATTGGAAACTGGGTTTAGTCCAGATGTTTCCTCTGTACCCATGCGCACTTGGTCAAGTATCACTGTGCTCTCTGGGCCTCATCTATAAAAAGAGGTGAGTGGCTGAGCTCATTTCAAAGGTTCTATTCAGCTCTAAAACGCTGTGCTATTAACAGCAACGGCATTAACCTTGGGACAGCAGTAGCTTTGAAGAATTCAGGGTGGGAGATGTGGGCAGGAATAGGGGTGTGAAAGGGCAAGCTGTGACTCCGGGATACAGAGGCAGATCAGTGATAGAAATGTCGAATTTTAGAGTTAGCTAGTGAGCTCCAGGTGAGCAGTGTCATTAGTGATCGTATTAAATGTTAATGATAATATTAAAGTCTTCATCTCAATTTTAATGTAATCGGCACCTGCTGCTCTAGATCCCTGGCTGAATGTGCTTTAGGCTTGTGGTTCTCAAACTTGGCTGCACATTGGAATCACCTGGAACGCATTCAGAAGTACTGTTGCCTGGGTTCCAGTGTCAGAGATTCTGAAATACGTGGTGTGGGGTGCAGCCAAGACATCAACAGTTTTAAGTTCTTCTCTCCCTGCCCTCCCGCCCATCCTAATGACACCAAGTTTGGAAAGGATAGGCTCTGGTTTTTCTTGTCCCTCTCCCATATAACATACAGGTCTCCTTAAGGGCAGGGACCATATCTTACTCTGCGGTCCTCAGAGTACCTTGTGCATAGCAGCTGATGAAAGGAATTTGGACAGCATGTTAGTTTCCTATTGTGGCTGTAACAACTTACCACAAACTTCGTAGCCACTACAACACAAATTAATTTTCTGACGTTCTGGGGGTCAGAATTCCAAAATGGGTCTCACTGGGTAAGATCAAGGTATCGGCAGGGATGGTCCCTTCTGGAGGCTCCAGAGGAGAATCTATTTCCTGCCTTTCTCAGCTTTTAGAGGCTGCCCACCATCCTTGGCTCCTGGCACCACACCTCTCCAACCTGTTCTTCCGCTGTCATACTGATCTCCTTCTCTGACTCGGACCTTCTGGCCTCCTGCTTCTAAGGCCCGCCAGGATAATCTCCCCGTCTCAAGATCTGTAATCACATTTGCAAAACCCCTGTGGCCATGGAAGGTGACATATTCACAGGTTCCAGGAGTTAGGACGGCACATCTTTGGGGGACACTATTCTACCTACCGCAAATAAAGACAGAGCAACTGTTGTAATTACAGGCCCACATGTGGAATTAAGTTACCGCGAGACGTGGCACCTCTTTACTTTTTCTTGTTTTAGCTGTGTTAGGATTTAATCAGAAACCATCTCTGTGGAAAGTTATACATCCTAGTGAAAATTTAACATGTTGCAAAACAGTGAAGAGCCTGGGAACAACAGAAATAAAGAGCAGATACATACCCTTCAGTGATTCAGTAAAAGGATATTCAGAACCGTTAATTGGCTGCGGGGAGTTTTAAAGGGCAGGCCAAGATGCTCAGTCACTCTGGCAAAGAGCTGTGCCTACAGGCCTCGGGGGTGACTGGGAACTCTGTCGTGTGGTTTCCTCACCTCCCCACCCACTCCCCCTTGCTCCCTCAGCCTGCTTGTGCTGGGGGACAATAAGCCAGCTGGCACCTCCAGCTCCACTCCCAGCTCTGCAAGCAGGTCCCTCTCTCCTGGACAAAGAGCATAAGGGCCAGCAGATAACATATCTGGCCCTGAGTCTGAGGCAATGTTAAATGATTGAGGGGCAAGGCTGGGTATATAGCCAGAGTCCTGAAAGATAACGGTTTTAGATAAGGGTCTCCATTTACTGCTAAATGGCACCAGAAGGCAGAGGCCACTAAGGAAAAATGTCTTTCTGCTGAGGGACTACTCTGACCCTATTCCCTCTCTAGGGGCCCTATTCCCTTCTCCCACCAAAGCCCCCAAGACGGTTCTTTCCAGCTGGTCTCTGTCTTGTAGGACAGTGGAGTCTAGCCAGCCATCTCCTTCCCCGCTGAGCTGGTCAAGTCCCTGCTGCTGAGAACTCCCTCCAGCCAGAACTTGGCCCCAGCTATTGTCATGGTGACAGCCAGCTGCAGCTTAGCACCAGCCTGGGGACTGGGCACAAAGAAAGAGTGGCCAAGAGATGTGAACGCTGGGCTGCCCTGCACTCCCGGAGGCCTGGCGTGGGGGTGGGGGTGGGGCAGAAAAGGACCCTTTGGGGATTGCTGGTAGTCTCTGACGGGTTTATTCTCTCAAAGAGGAGCCTGGAAGTTTGAAGCGTCTAAACTCTTTTGCTCCACACTGGAATCCAGGTTTATAAAGATAAAGGCTCCTTTGCCAAGGCAGTTTGGTATTTTACTTACACACATGCATTCATGCGTGCATTCTTTCACATTGGAATGCACTTGCATTTTTGCATTTGACACCATTTTGACCCCCAAGAAAGTTAGAGACCTGGGAGTGTGCCTCTACTCAGGCCTGCTTCAGCTTTAACACCTGCCCTTTGGGGGTGCCTGGGTGGCTCAGTCAGTTGGCGTCTGCCTTTGGCTCAGGTCATGATCCCAGGGTCTCAGGATCGAGCCCCCCATCAGGCTCCCTGCTCAGCGGGGCGTCTGCTTCTCCCTCTCTCTGCCCCACCCCCGCCCCCATCATGCTCTCTCTTGCATGCACTCTCTCTCTCTCAAATAAATAAAATATTTTTTAAAAACTCTTCCCTTTGATGTAGTTGAATTCATATTCAAAACTTGTGACCCTGGGCAAGTTAACTATTAGTAATGATAGATAATATTTATTGTCAGGCATTGTGTTAAATGCTTTCCATGCATTATCTAATTTCACAGTAGTTTTATTAGATGTAGTTGTTTTAAATTCCCACCTTCAGGTACAAAAACTGAGGCTCAGAGATTTGTTTATCAGAGGCCCAGGTTTGACTGACTCCAAAGTCCACATTCTTAACCACTGTTAGTAACCTTGAATTGCCTTAATTTCCTCATCTGTAAAACAGGGAAAATAGCTGCCCCGCAAGGTAACTCTGTTGTGGGGATCAAATGAGATCATCTTTTAAAAGCTTTTCTTGGAGGCAAAGCAGACAGATGCTATCAACTGTATCTGTTGTGGGGACAGAAATGCTCATCTCTGGCTCCTAGGAAAGTCATCTTCCTCCTGTTCTTCCTGAAGGTAACTTACAGTGGGCTCTCTGGTTTCCAAAATCTCAGGGTCTGCCTCATTCCCTGTGTCCACAGGTGATTTCCATGGTGATGGTGGCTGTGGGAGTCTACGCTCGGCTGATGAAGCATGCAGGTGAGCTATAGGCCCCCCTCCGTCTCCCCATGACTCTTCCTCCTCTGCCTCCTTCAGCCCTGGCTCTCTAATACGCTTTCCCACGTAAGCTATGGGGCTAAAGAGGACAGCTGCCTTCCAGCCCAATCTTAACACCCTACTCCAAGGCAGCAGGCAGGCCATGCCAGTTCACCAGGATTTCCCTAGGCTCCCACGAATCTCCCAGGATCTGCCTGCATTTTAGGCTTAGGAAGTGTCTAGGAAAGGAGGTACGCCTCTGGGAGCAGAGAGTAATCCGAGGCCTCAGCCCCTCCCTCACTGTGTCCTGAAGTAACTCAACCGCCATTCCTGTTCTACTGCACAAAGTCTCCAGGAAACGGAATCTGCAAAACTGGGAGCCTAATGCCATTCTAATTCTTTTCTGGAGCGAAAGTGGTTCCTCCTCTCTTAAGCTTGGGAATAAAGGCTCTCACTTTGTTAGCTCCTCAAATTAAATGTCACAAACCCTTCTGGGCCCTTTTTGTTCTCCCACGGGAGGGGAGTACTGCCTCCCCATAACCGTCTTCCAACCATACTAGAGATTCCCCAGGCAGAGAACAGTTTTGGGGGGCACCCCCCACCTCGTCCCTGGGTATCACTCGCAGTCAGCACCAGGCTCAGACTGAGAGACAGCCCCTCCCCCAGAAGCAGCCTTGGCCTGCCTGGCAGTGGACCCTGCCATCCTGCTGATTGTGGTGGGCGTTCTTATGTTCCTGCTCACCTTCTGCGGCTGTATTGGATCGCTTCGTGAGAACATCTGCCTCCTACAGACGGTGAGTGGTCAGTGAGTGGTCAGGGTCCCCACCAGAAAGACCCTGGCCTCCTCCATATGCCTCCCAGGCTCCTGATGCCATTCCTACAACCTTTCAGTTTCCCCTGCACCTCCCCCCTCCCCCCGCCAAGCTTGTGCTGTCTGCTCCCCACTGTAGAGCTCAGCCCAGATGACCCAGCACAGGGTGGCCACCCTCAAGACAGCATGGTGGAGGCAGAGGCCTTTATCATGCATGGGGCATCTGGGAGAAGTGCCCCATAGCCCCCCAGTACCCAGTACTCCCTATGGCCCTGGGAGGGGCTAGAGCCCAGCTTGGTAATCAACTGTCTCCTTTTCCTGCCTGCTCCCCACAGTTCTCACTCTGCCTCACCATTGTGTTCCTGCTACAGCTGGCTGCAGGGGTCCTGGGCTTCGTCTTCTCAGACAAGGTAACGGGAGCCAGGGGGCCTCCTCAGGTGTGAACCAGAGGGAAGAAGGGAAGGTTCCTGCTTATGTTTAGCCTGATTAATTAACCACAGTGCTCCTTCCCCTGAGAAGCATCAACCTTTGAAAGATTCTCCTTGGGGATGAACAAATGGCCTTTAAAGTCACCATATTTAAAGAAGATTTCCATATTGTAAGGTGCTTTCCTCTGACAGTCTGAGAAGCCAACAGGAAAATAAATTCTATGAACACAAAGTTAAAATAATCTGCAAACTTTAATGGCAAATTATTGGTTAATACACAATGATCAAGTAGACCATAGACAATATGAAGAATCTTTTATTTCTTCTAAACATTGCTTATTGGGATAAACAGAAGGAAAGAAGGGGGAAAGTAAACGAGGTTTTGAGCAGTGCTCACTGTAGCTGGAAGTGATCTGCTATTTAGTGACAGTCCTTTTAGTTAAGAACCAGAATTCCTTTCTCAAAGAGCAAATGATTGCCAGGGGGTAGTGTTGCACTATAGACAAGAAACTTTGAGGGAAGTAGCAGAGCAAGAAGGAAGAAAGCATGCCGGAAACTATGAAATGGGGAGCCACTGAGTTCATTCAGAATGTCCTAGTCCTTCTGGCTTAGTAAAATCCTAAAATGATCTGTTTGGAGTCTAAAGAGATGTAGTTCTCTTCTGTCCACTAGAGGTCAGTGTCTCAGCTTTGTAAGCCCTTTTCTACTAAAATATTAGATTCTCGGCTTTGCATCAACAAGTATTTTGTGGTAATAGTGTTCAGAGGTAAATAAATCTTGGATTATCTCGAAAATGTGGCTCTGAGAAGAGGCAGCAGCAGGTCCTGTGTTTCTCTTGCCTACTGGTACCTGAGGGCCCAGGGATGGATGGGCTTCGGAACTGGCCATCAACCTAGGGCCTGGTTCTGATTTCAAGGCTGACTTACAGGAAGAAGGATGACCACTGTCTACTGTTATTCCTGAATGGAGGAGCGGTTAGGGATTAGTCCTGTGTTCTGATTCCCTACTCATGTCTCTGGCAGGCACGAGGGAAAGTGAGTGAGATCATCAATAATGCCATTGTGCACTACCGAGATGACTTGGATCTACAGAACCTCATTGATTTTGGCCAGAAGAAGGTATGGGCTAGGAGTGGCGGGAGGTCAGCTGTGGTCTCAGAGGCTGTAGGCAAAAGTTAATGCCATCCCAAGAGACACCTCACCCTCCAGGCCTATGGACTTCTTCATTACCTTCCAGGTAATGGATTCTGGAAGGAGGTTTGGCAAAAAACCATACATAGCAGAGTGCTTTAAAAGTACTTCTAAGAGAACAGAACAGTAGTGTATATAGTAATCTACCATTTGTGTAAAAAAAGAGGGAGGAAAGAATATGTATTCATATTTGTGAAAGGAATCTACAAGCATATGTAGAAACTATTCTAAGTGGTTACTTATAGGGGGATAAGGAAGTGGCAGATTTTTAAATATTACCTATAAAAAAGTTAAGTTTTTAAAATTGTGGTAAAATGTATATAACATGGGGCGCCTGGGTGGCTCAGTTGGTTAAGCGACTGCCTTCGGCTCAGGTCATGATCCTGGAGTCCCTGGATCGAGTCCCACATCGGGCTCCCTGCTCAGCGAAGAGCCTGCTTCTCCCTCTAACCCTCCCCCCATATACTCTCTCTCTCTCTCTCTCATTCTCGCTCTCTCAAATAAATAAATAAATCTTTAAAAAAAATAAATAAATAAATAAAAAAATAAATAAAATGTATATAACATAAAATTTACCATTTTAACCTTTTTAAGTATACAAATCTGTGGCCCCAAGTATACTCACATTGTTTACATCCATCACCACATCCATCTCCAGAACTTTTTCATCTTCCCCAAATGAAGCTCTACCCATTAAACACTAACTCCCCATTTCCCCCTACCCCAACTCCTGACAACTACCATCTATTTCCTATGAATTGACCACTAGAGGGACCTCATATAAGTGGAATTGTACAGTATTTGTCCTTTTGTGACTGGCTTATCTCACTTAGCATGTCTTCAAATTTCATCCATGTTGTAGGATATGTCAAAGTTTCCTTCTTTTTTTAAGGCTGAATAACATTCCATTGCATGTATCCACCACATTTTGTTAATTCATTCATCTTTTGATGCACACTTGGGTCACTTCCACCGTTTAGCTATTGTGAATAATGCTGCTATGAATCAAAAGTTGAATTTTAAATAAAAGTGCTTTTGAGACCAGTACTGAGTTCCCCTTCCCTTGGTGCAACTTACTTGGATCTTACTTGCTTTCATGGAGTAATTATGGGCCCATAATACTGAAGATTCTCTTCTGTTTTCTCTGTATTAAAACAAATATTTTCAACACTGATCCTTTAATTATTTCAGCCAATGTTTTTGAACACCTCCTTTTGCAGCCTCTATACTATGCAGAAACTGCCCTCAAGGAGCTCATAGTTGAATGTGAAAAACAAAATATATCTACAACTATGGTCGTTATAACAAGGTATATAAAGGTAAAGGCCACTGAGAAACGTGAGCTCAAGGTTTAAGGTTGTGTTTAAAAACAACCTGAATTTACAAATGGAAGCTGGCCACGGACTTTTGGCTGCTCTGAGAATTCCCCTGGTCACTTCAGTGTGAGGAGTGGGTGATTCTTAATCTCTGTGGTGGGCTTTGTTGCAGTTCAGCTGCTGTGGAGGGATTTCCTATAGGGACTGGTCCCAGAACATGTACTTCAACTGTTCAGAAGACAATCCCAGCCGTGAGCGCTGCTCTGTGCCTTACTCCTGTTGCTTGCCTACCCCAAACCAGGTGAGTCTACATCCCATCTCATTTCCTTCTGGGCAGCAATTTCAGTTACTTCTCGACCAGGGTAGCCACTGTAGGGAATCCCCATTCCCTAGCTTAACCAATCAATTTTGTAGGACAATTGTCAGATGTTTCTCTTTACCCCAATCCAATGGCTCTGTTAACTTTTCACTCCTGCGGTCCACGTGGGGATTCAGAAGGTGCAGGTCTCTAAAGCAAGGAAAACTGAACTCAGATCTCCCAGAGGAAAGGAAGCTTGCATTTAGAAACTTCCAAGTTAGGATCCTCCACATATATTCCCTAACAATTTAGGAATTTAGGAAGGGTGGGAAGACCATAAGCTAGGGCCTGAAATAAAAAGTTTGGGAATGGGAGTTCCGTTTGGCTTTTCAACTCTTTCCCCAGGCAGTGATCAACACCATGTGTGGCCAAGGTATGCAGGCCCTTGAATACCTGGAGGCTAGTAAAGTCATCTATACCAATGGCTGTATTGACAAATTGGTCAACTGGATACACAGCAACCTCTTCCTTCTTGGTGGCATAGCACTGGGCCTGGCCATTCCCCAGGTAACTTACCCTGTAAAACTTGCGGGTCTTAAAATTCTGCAAAGGCTCCTTTGTTTTGGGGAGGGCACCTGGGGACCAGCTAGGGTGTCAGGCACTGACATTGCTGTGAAGCTGGGGATGGGATGGGGCTAACCATACTGGGAAGATTGAGTCAGGGAAAACAAAGACATCACTCATTGCTGAGGCCCCAATCCATCTCGCCTCTCCCAGCTGGTAGGAATCCTGCTGTCCCAGATCCTTGTGAATCAGATCAAAGATCAGATCAAGCTACAGTTCTACAACCAGCAGCACCGAGCTGACCCATGGTACTGAGAATCCATCCTGCACCTCCTCACTATGGCGACAGGCAAGCCTCATCGACCAATAGCAATGGGTATAGCTCTCAGCACCGAATGGAGATTTGGATTCCAGTTCCCCAGCAACAGCCCAGTGGGGAGAAGCCAACTCCAGCTGGGCGGAAGGCAGGGGGCACAGGTGGCTCAAGTCTAGGAAAGATGCCCCTGCTCCTCTCCTCCATCCTAGCCCTCCCATTGTTAAGAGTTATTTTGCATTATTTTTAACCTTACACATTTGGGTTTATGGTTTGTTGTTGTTGTTTTTTTTAATTTTGTCTGGGCAGAGATGTTTGGGGAACATCAGTTGCACAGAGTCTTGGGGGTACTAGGTGTTGCTCTTCACTGAGGCACTAAACCAATGGTTCTACCAGGGCTGATACTTACTTAGCCTGCTGGACATACTGATTCCATCTGTTGCCGGCAAGACCTGGCTGGAGAGTGGACACTAACAGCCCTACCTGCAGTCCAGCTGGTATGATACGAGCTCCAGAAGGGAAGGGAGTGGAACAGGCAGTGAGCTTGGGGTCGACTGGGGACAGCTGTATGTGCTGGGTAGGAGTGGAAGGCGATAGGTTTACTAAATGCTGCCCTGCCATCCCCCAGGTAGTCAAAGTGAGCTACATCCTGCCCCTCCCTCATTTCCATGGAAACGTGGCAGCAAGGGCAAGGGGTACAACAGCAGCCAAATTCATCCCTCTCCCCCACTCCACCCTTTTTTAAAAGGTCTGGAACCGTGGTCTTTACACCCTGCAGCCAGCAGAGGTGGGACTGAGCCATTTGTGCCCTTGAATTCCTCCCCTCTGGCCCTCCCTCTCCAGCAAGTGGGGTTTCTTTAACCTTGGCAGTGTGCAGAGGAGGCAAGGTTAACACCCCCACCCCCGCCCCCATTACCCTGCACCAGAGCTCAGTATTTCTACAGTGTAAGAAGCAGGGGTTTTGCTGGGGCAAGGGAGTCAGAAGTGGCAATAAAAGTTTGTTGACCTGCGCTAAATTGGACTCCACGAATTTTCCATTCTGGCAACTAGAACGGGAGGGGTAGAAGGGCGCAGCGGGTGGGCCCTCTCTCCAGGTGGGGACTGGAGACTCCCCTAAACACCACAATACCTCCGGGGCCCCATCCCTCGCCCCCTCTCCCTCAACCAGATGCACTCCTCCCCTCCCACAACCCCGCCCCCCTGGTCTAAATTAGGTCGAAAGATTCCCAGTTCCGACCTGGGAACGGCGTAATGTTATCCTAAAACCTGATGTTAATTTTTTCCCCAAACTAAACTGAATTAAAATTGGCCACCCAAAACTTTTAGGACGGGGGTAGGTAAGAACACAGCGGGAAATCAGAGTCTAGCGCTCTCCGCTGGGGCGGGGAGGGGAACGAGGAGGAAGAAGGCCATCTCCTCACCCCCAGTCTGGGCCCTCCAGCCCCCTCCTCCGTCTTCATCTGAAGGAGCTTGTACCGCTGCCGGCCGTACTTCAAGGAGTACTCAGAAAAAGTTGCCAGCGGGGCGCGGGGCTGCCTCACGCCCAGAGAAGCGTGCGAGGGCGGCTAGCCGGGAGGCCCGGCTGGCGCGTCGGGGGCGGGGCTGGGGCGGGGCCGCGCGGCGCTGTGGGTGGTCCCCGCCCCCGCGGCGGCCGGAGCCGGCGCCTCCGCCCCCCGCCCGGGAGGAGCTGGGAGCTGGGTTGCCAGGGGGCGGGTACGGGGCTGCGGGACGCAGTTATGCTCTTAGGGTTCCCCGAAGTCTCCTCGCTGCCCTCTGCTGTCGCGGGTCTCACACTGGGAGCTTTGGCCTGGCCGGAGAAAGACTCGAAAAAAATCCCTACCGCGCTGGAGAGACCGAGTCGCGAGTTCTCTCCCCGCCCCCAGTTTCTTCTAAACGAGCCTTCTGCTCCTGGGAGGGCGCCTTTCCAGCAGCCGCCTGGGGCCCCAGCCAATGTTTAGCTCCAGCTAGTAACACAACGGAAAGAAAAAAATTAAATCATCACAAATAAAAAAATTAAAAGTAAGGGCCTTTTACTCTGAGAGAAGAGTAAAAAAAGCGCGCTTTCTCTGTGTCGAAGACACATTTTATAAAGCATTTTATACTTTTCCTTCGCATGCTGACGCGGACCGTCGTTTGGGTTAGGACTTGGGGTGACGCACTTTCCCGGTTCCACGGCTTTGAGGAGCTCACCTGGCAAGGGGCTTGTCTGGGGCCTCTTGGAATAAAAGAACAGGAATGGTGGTCCGCAGAACCAGGGTTCAAATCCAGACTGCTTAACTCCAAACTACACTTTTACTTAGGTCTTAGGGTATCTAGCCTTCTGGGCTTAGACAAAAGGGTCACGAATTTCTGCCCAAGTCCCAGGCCTTAAAGGGCCGCTAGCAAAAGTTCAGAAGCTTATATTGCAGTTCATCGTTCTTAGCTAGATTCATTCTTCAGTGTCTCTGGTTCTCAGTTTCTCAAGCTTTCTTTCTCTTTGGCCTGATGCTGGGAGAGAAAATGCCCCAATTTTTAAAATGGTTTCTTACTGGTATTTCATGTTTCATTGTGATTTGCTCCCTGGATTTCAGTTTCTAATAACCCTAGTCTCAAACATGTGGTGGGGTTAACGCCAGTATCTTAGAATAGCTGTCAAATCTAGGCCTCAGAGGTGGGTGAATGGAAGAAAATTCTTGGGGCAGTGGAAATCAGGCCAGATCGACAGAAGTGTGGAGAAAGGCCTGAAGGAAGGTGAAAATCTGGCTGGGGTGAGGTGGCAAGAAAGGTACTGCTAGTTCTCTGGGCCTCAAACACTACTATGTAAATAGGGACTTTGAGTCCAAGAGTGCAGATTTTGCAGAAAGTTCAATGAAATTCTGATCCCCTCTGAATTTTTCTTCTATTGCTGCTGTAACAAATTACCTCAAATTTAAAACATACGAATTTGTCATCTTACAGTTTGGAAAGTCAGAAATCTGAAATGGGTCTCACTGGTCTAAAATCAAGGTGTCATCAGAGCTGAGTTCCTTCTGAGGGCTCTAGGCGATCCATTTAACAACTTCTAGAGGCTGTTTGTTTGCCTGGCCCCTGTTTTCATCTTCAAAATACATCAACCTCTGGTTCTATGGTCACATCTTCTTTTTCTCAGACTCTGACTCTCCTATGTCCCTCTGATTATATTGAGCCTACCCAGGTTATCCAGAATAATCTTCCAATTTTAAGAGTCTTAATTTAACCACATCTATAAGGTTCCTTTTACCGTGTAAGGTAATAAACACACAGGTTCCAGGAATGAGGACATGGACATTTTGGGGTGGTCATTATTCAGCCTATGATACCCTCTTCCCACTGTCATGCATCTCTTAAGGTGAGGGAATCTTAGGAAGAGCTTGAGGTGGGCGTTGTCTGGCCTTGGTTCTAAAAATTACCTAACCTTTATTGAGTGCTTACTGTGTGCCAGGCACACATTTATCGCAAGTTTAATATGAGGGTCCTTTAATATGCTATTTTCTGACATGTTCTCATCCCAAAGAGCAGATATGTAAACAGGGTCAGGGACCAGTTTCAAAAAGGGGACACAAAAACCTTCTACCAGAAGAGCTCCCGTGGGCCATTACTATAAAGAGGTCAGGAACATTTTGTAAACCATACTCTCTCCCCACAAAAAATAAGAGTAATTAGATATTCCAAATTGCCATAGATAAAACACTTAGAGAAGGGGATAAAGTGGGGAGTAACCATGCTCTATAATTTATATTGGAAGTTAAGTTTCTAGAGTCTTCTCACTAACACGCCAGGAACCTGGTAAATCAGTCAGATGAATGGAATAGCATAGAAACTCCAGAAGCATTTTCAACCATCTGTACTCACTGACTAGTAAATACAGTGATGAGAGGAAGGGGCGATCACTAATAATGTTAGGACAAGTAGATTACGGTATGAGAAAGAAGGAACTGAGATTCATCTGTCACATGCACTAGATTGCATTCCAGAGGGTAAAATAATTATTTTAAAACAAAAGAAAAAAAAATCGGAATAGCATATTGATCCCAGCTGTAGGGAGCTAGAGTGGACAGCTTTTCAGTGCACCTGCCCAGTCCACAGTGGTTCTTCCTTCTTTGGAAATAGGTCCCCTACCCCTCAAGCCATAGGGGTGAGTCTTAAGGAGCCATATTTGTACTGTAAGACATGGTCTCCCAAACAGAGCTAACGGGGATCGGTTTTCGGCACTGTATTACTTTCCTAGGGCTACTGTAACAAAGATCCACAAACTGGGTGGCTTAAAACAACAGAAACTTATTGTCTCACAGTTCTGGAGGCCAGAACTTAAAATCAAGGTGTTGGTAGGGCCATGCTGCCCCTGGCATCTCCAGGGGAGGATCTTTTCTTGCCTCTTCCAGTTTCTGGTTAAGCTTCCAGAGCCTTAACCTTCGTTGGCATTCCTTGGTTTGTGGCAGCTTAATTGCAACCTCGGCCTCCATCTTCACGTGGCAATCTTCCCTCTGTGTCTGTGTTCCAATTTTCTCTTCTTATAAAGACACCAATCGTGTTGGAATAAGGGCCCATCCTACTCCAGTATCACCGCATCTTAACTAATTACATCTGCAATGACCCTATTTCTAAGTGAAGTCACATTCTGAGGTAGAGGGGGTTAGGGTACTCAGGGGGTTAGGGCTCCCCTTTTAGAGGGGAGGAACGAGAAACACTATTCAACCTGTAACAGGCACCTAGCCCAAACCGTGCCAGAATTCCTTCCCTGGGATTTGGAATTGAGAATGAGATTCTAGTCACAGCCTGAGCTGACTGGTCTGGTGAAGAAAGAGAAGCAAATGGAAACTGAGGCTCAGCCTTCTTACACTTGATGAACTAAGTAGCAGAGAAAGTCTATTTACAGAAAAAGAAGAATGAAACAGATGGGGGGTGGGGAGGCAGAGAAAAAAAAAAGGGGCAGAGGAAGGATGCTCCAGGTGGCAGCTTTCACTACGGTCCTACAACCTTTCTGCAGCTTCACTGCTGTCCCGCCTTGGGTTCCCTGAGACACCGTAGGCTTCCCGAAAAGCTTGGTTTGTTTGCTTAAGGAAACTCAACTTGGTTTCTGTTGCTTACAAGCAAAGCTAATAGAAAAGCTATAATCAGAATAAGATACCCTATTAGTTTTCCTTGCTGCTGTAACAACCTATCACAAACTTAGTGCTTAAAACA